ATGTATGGTCAAGCAACTCATCCCCAGCCGTTACCGATGCACTTAAACCACAGACCCCAGTCCCCAGCGATCTCTGAATCCACAAAAAATTTTAACCCGTAAAAACAATGTTTTTCACTATAAATCCTTTATATGCGCGGCGGCTAGAGTCCTCTCGTCCTCTGGCTTGAGATGGCTGCCACCTATGGGTCAGATGATTGCATGGCAGCATTAAGCAATTGGTAATTAAATATAAAAAATTTTTACCTAAAATGTGTAAAGTTATGGAAAAAACTTTTCACGAAAAGAAATTGTAACGCACAACGAGTCTGTGTGCAAAATGTCAGCTCGATTGGATCATGGGAAGTGGGTTAAAAAAACGACTGAAAGATTTGCACGGTCGTAAGCGCGCAAGCAAGCAAGCAAGTGAACTTGATATAAAGAATTTAAAAAGTGGTGTCAGCTGTGAAGGTGAAAGAGCAAAGAGGGTGCTAGGAATCACCGGATATGAAGGAGAATGGGGCAACTCCAAGCTTCTGAATGGTGGCAACTTTTCTATTAGGGAGAGTTGATAATGATTGTGGAGTGGGATTCTTGAATTCTTCGGAAATAAAAAAATCGAGTTTTAGGGTTCAATAATCAATCTGATAAGAGTCACCAGGTTGGACTAATGCTCGCCAACCACGACAAGTTGCATGGCATGCAAGTATTTGCTCCAATAACACTCCACGATGAATGTGTGTGGGCCAAATGTACGAGGAAACTAACCAACAACGAACTGAGAGTAAAGAGCATTTGAAAATCTTAATTGAAGACTTAATTCTAGATTTGAAGCTTTCGTGACTGCAAGGATTCATATTCTTAGGTTTTTTCGGTAAAGTCACGTAGGTAAAACATTAAATTAATTTTAATGTTTTATTAATTGAAGACCTTCATGCGAAATAGGTCAGCGATCCAAGGACGAGATTTCTCGATTGACGAGTTCGGCGCTGGCGTGGAGAGACGACGAGGGCGAGCGTCTGCTCGAGATGACATCCGTCAAAGGCACGACGGAGTGGAAAATATATATATATGTTTCGGAGAAAGAAATAATCTCGGAAAGGGACGTGAAAAAAAATCTCAAATGGTGACATCAGGACCAAGATTGACGTGGATTCTATTGGCAAACCCCAGCTCGTCAAAGAGACCGTTCATCCGTCCTCAACAAATTCCAACGCAGAAGGCGATCGGAGAGACGGGCGGCGATGCAAAGTCGGCACTTCCAAGGTGAGCCACATGGGGAGGGTAAAACGAAGTACAAACAAGACCAAGATGGGGGACATGATACAGATAAAGCGCAGCACAACACTGATTGGAAAATATTCTTAGGTTTTTTCGGTAAAGTCACGTAGGTAAAAACATTAACAAGTAAAATAAAATAAAAATCACGACGTTTCGGAGGCAACACAAGCTTCCGTCTTCAGGTGGTAACCGTCACAGCCACGACAGCTGTATCAAGTAAATGAGAGATTGCAGGAGTTACCACTGCGTTTATATAATGGTTGGAGAAGGTGGTGGGGCAAGGGCCGCATACTTTTTATTAATATAGGTAAGGTGAGGCTTGAGACTAAGAATAGACTGCATAACAAACGCAGTGGTAGCTCCTGCAATCTCTCATTTACTTGATACAGCTGTCGTGGCTGTGACGGTACCACCTGAAGACGGAAGCTTGTGTTGTCTCCGAAACATCGTGATTTTTATTTTATTTTACTTTTTAATGTTTTTACCTACGTGACTTTACCGAAAAAACCTAAGGAATATGAATCATTGCAGTCACGAAAGCTTCAAATCTAGAATGATTGGAAGATCTTGACTTAAAGCTTTCGTGACTGCAGGAAATCATACTCTTTGGGTCTTTCGGTAAATTTCGATTTAAAGCTTTCGTGACTGCAGGGAATCATCTTCTTGGTTCTTTCGGTAAAGTCACGTAGAAGGGAAATAATAAAATAATAATAAAATAATAAAAATACCTGAGGACGGCTGCTTGCGTTGTGGCCGAAACGTCGTGAGAATTATTTTATTATGTTTTATTTTTATTATTTTATTATTTCTCTTCTACGTGACTTTACCGAAAGAACCAAGAAGATCTTTCGGTAAAGTCACGTAGATAGAAAAATAATATAATTATTTAAAAAATCACGTTTCGATCGCAACACAAGCAGAAAGTTCGTGGAGCAGGTGGTATAACTGGACATTGTTAAACAACGGGACCCTCTGTGCACTTGTTCACGAAACATTTGCACGGAAAAAACATATTGCAATCACAGACTGATTGTCTCAAATCATCCCTTTGTTAAAACGGGGCGAAACATCAGACTTGAATAACTACAGTTAGATCAGCCTCTTGTGGTACACGTATAAATTGCGCACAGATATAATTGTAAACAGGTTAATAAACAAATGGACAAACCAACGAAACAAGTGTAGTATTTTACTTTAATAACCTTTGGGAAAGAAAAAAAACCTTTATGTGCAAAAGTCGGAGTACTCAAATACAACACACGACTTAAAACAAAGGCAAGCTACTCTTTGAGTCTTATCTAATCATAGGGGGCAAGCAATCTTAATTTTGGAGCTTTCGTGACTGCAGGAATTATTCTTTGGTTCTTTCGGTAAAGTCACGTCTAAAGATAAAATAATAAATTAAATAATAGCATATTACGACGTTTCGATTGCAACACAAGCAATCATCATCAGGTATAATGAAATAGCGACATAAAATCTAACCAGAAAACTATAGACAGACATATAAGCAGACAGATATCACCAAGATACATAGAGAGAGCAACAGAGGTAACAGAGAGGGGTGATCGTCTCTGTGGGGTGGCCTTAAATAGACAGAGGGGGGCGGAGGCAGAGAGAGGGAGCACCTATCAAGGCCGATATACACGTTGAACTTCTTTCGCACCGTACGTAGCCATACCTTGCTAATCGGAGGTGCGGGTGAAGGATGAGAAACTAAACACAGAAAAGGAGTTCTAAAGAAAAAATGTTTTTCTTCAGTCTAGATATCACACACTCGAGGGTGCTGTGGCCACATCGCCCTCGTCCTTCTGAGTACTTACGGGACGGTCACGCATCCCATCAGAGGGAAAGGCCTCATTTCTGGCCGAGTTCACCTCGGTGATGCCCAGCACAGGTTCCCAGCGGCCAGTGATATTGGCCACATGTGATGCTACCCATATCAACACGCGCCCTCCTGTGTTTTGCCACCTTGGTGTACTTTCCGCTGGACTCAAAAAAGTGAACTAACACAATTACATTAAATAATTATTGGTATGAAAGAATAATAGGTTTTACCCTTTCTGGCAATAAATAACAGGTGTTAAGATGTTCAAACACCAAATAGACACCTTTTGCAAGGAATCAAGGACTGCATTAACCACACATGCATGTGGCAAAACATGCAAAGAAACTGATAATAAATATATGCATTGTCATTGAAACTGTTTAACACATAGTAGGCTTTCGCGACCAACATCATCCATAATATTTGTTTTTTTTGGGGTTAGATCGCGTAAATATATGTGTCGTTAAACCCGCCACCACCCGTCACAGCCAATTAGTAATGTTGGTCACGTAAACTAGTGACGAATTGGCATGTTCTGTTTACGTGACAACCCTTACTAAATTGGTTGTGTCGGGTGGTGGCGAGTTTAACGACACATTTATAAATTTACGCGTTATAACTTGAAAACTTGTGAAAGTTATATTTTTTAAACTAACATTTAAACAAAAATTATCCAAATCAATACTTGATCGAATATAAACGTTTCACTAATGTTACACGCTCAAAAAGAATGGTTTAAGAAGTTACAATAATTCTGGATATACAGAGTGAGCGACAAATTCTCACTTCATTATAGTAGTACGATGATTACAACATTAATAATTAGTATTAACTCGTAGATAACTCGTTGCTCTTTAATGGACAAAAATATACGGCTTTATCTTTCATACTCTTCTCACAATGCTGTACTCGGAGCCGTAAGAGTAATGCTTTTAGTTAGGTCATTAAACAGCCAATAATTACTTTTTTATAATCTCCAGGATTAAAATATTATCCGAGAAAAATTATTAAATTAATAGGACCACACAATCCTAAGTTTGAGAAATGTTAAATGGACCGTGTCAGTCTTTTGTATTCGTTAAAGTCGCACGTTTTCAGGTGTCGCCATCTATTAGATGTATTCCAAACTCCTTAAAATGTTACAAGGAAGAGGCCGTGCAGCCAGCTACCCGGCTAGCTTCGCTGGCGACGACCCACAGCAACTACTAAACAGCGACATTATCGCCGGGGTAGACCGCCCGGAAACTCGAGGCATAGATGATTATTATATCTCAATAGCCGTGTGAATTGTATTTCACTTCCACAGAGCTCTACAGTTTCACACCAGCCGGCGCCGCCGGTGGTTTATCCATTCGCTCGTTGAATGAGCCTTTATTTTAATACGAGACCCGCAATTCCCACTACCACCAACTCGACACTTGGCCCAACGACCTCTCAAATCACGGCTTTGTAAACAACCCCCACGCATCTTCTTAAAAAAAAACAATAATGTGAAATTGTATTCGGATCGTTTGCATGCCTTCAATCTGATGGTGCAAAAAACAATGGCATTGTCCATGGCTGTCACGACGTCGCCAAGAGGTGGTCGAACAATGGATTATTGAAGCCATCAGCGCAGAGATTTCGGTGCTACGCCTCCCCCCTCGCATTCATTGCTTTTCTTTTGATTCTCTGGTTTCGTCGCACACGAAACCAAACATTAATGGAATTGACCGCACATCTCCCCAATGCAGGAGGAGGACCCCTCTTGCAAAAATAGAGCAATGGGACTCAGTCTGGATTTCTCGTGCAAACAAAGGACATTGCTGTAGTAGCAAACAATATTTTTTTTTATTATCATCATTATAATAAATAGACCTCGCCGAATGGCGTAGGTGCATTCGTGAACATAAACGGTTAAATGGGCAGCTGCTGCTCGCGCGCAGAGACAAGGTCCTGGGGGCTGGTGGCCGCTCAACTCTCTTTTCGGCAGGGTGCCGAACGGCGCCTCGTCTGTCGCCCCCTCGCCCGCGACGTTCGTCTCGTCCACGCCGGTGGCGGTGACGGTGACGGTGGCAGCTCTGGAGGCGCTGAGAGTCCGCGCTCCGTGCTTCGTGAAGCTCTCGGCGGCTGCTAGCGGACTGGCGGTGCGGGTGGTGGAACGGCGAAGGATGGAGGAGCCATGCGCGCGGCAGCCGCTCCGGATTCCGGGACGATTTCTCGAGTGCATCGACGGCATCTCGCAGTGAGGTAGAGACGCGCCGTCACGTCTCGCCTGAGCTCCTACCGCGTAACGGGGGGGGGGGCACAGAGAGGCTACCGAGCCGAAGCAGCAAGTGTGTGTGTGTGTCTCTCCCTCTCTCTCGCTCTCGTCCGCATCTCCGGGAGCGGGCGGCACAGCGAGCCCGGGACTTTAACGGACGCCAAGACGCAGGGATAATAACAGAGGGATAAGGTGAGCGAGGATCTGTCTGCGTTGCTCCGTGCAGTTGCGGTTTGCCCGCTGCTGTTGCGCGAATCTGTTGCCCGTCCGTTAGTGTGTGTGTGTAAGATCGCAGGACTGATTGTGTTTCAACAGGCGTCTCCTTTCTAAGATAGCACGTTTTTTTCTTCTTCTTCTCCTCTCCATCCCTCTCGTCTGCACGCACCAGGCAACGAGCGTGCCTCGTTGCGTGTCGTGATGGTGATGAGATGGCAAATTGTTCTAAATTTGTAAGGGGGGGGGGGGGCTATGAAAGTGTGGATGTGTGCTTTGTGTGTTGTTCTCGTCGCCGTTGTTGTAGGCGTGCGTGTTTATTGCATTTACGCGGACTCGTGCCGTAAGCCCCGATTGCGGTTTTGCGCGCCTGCCTCTGAGGTTCACGGACTCCGGTTCTAGTCCGGTCTGGGTCCGTTTGCTCAATTCAAAACGCACCGCGTTTACTCGACGCGCGATGCGTGTCGCTGATGCACGCGGCCGTAATTCCGTACTCCAGTTGCGGCGGGTAATTGTTAATTTCGCTGGGAGTAATCACGACGTCAACCCACTCATGTATGCTTGTCGTTATCAGGCGTCCCTCTTGAAATACACCTGGGGCAAACGAACGCAGGGCGATGCTTGGTCTACAACGAAAATATATATTTGCATATACAGATGATATATTGTTTGTCCGTCTCTAGGCAGGAATGAAGACGGTGCAGACTCTGTGAAATTGCTCACATCCGTAGGTACAAAATGAGGGAGCCTTTCTGTTGTGCGGCTCAGATAGAATGCGCATTGGGGCGACCTGCACAGTCACGAGCGAAGGCGCCCGTGCTGTCGGCTGGCTGTTGCCGAGGATGACTGTAGCCTGCTTGTTGTGTGTGTGTGTGTGCGAGCGTGTGTTCCGGACACGTGTGTCCATGTGCGGCGACACTGCGTGACGATAAACAGGTTAGTTCATTACTGTGCGTGCATCATCAGCATCATCATCAGCACAGTCATCGCTATCACCTACGTCTTATTATTCATCATTGTCCTCCACTTTGTCATCATCATCATCATCACCACCCCCCTCATCATCATCCCCATCATCATCCCCATCATCATCATCAGTAGCATCAATCTTACCATCGACACCATCTTCATCCTCATCGATTATCAGAGTTATCTTAATCCTTGTCGTGACAATGAGATTGTTTTTATCGTCATTGGTTTGAGATGTAGCAATTAAACGCGCAATAGATGCAAACTCGTATGATGATGATGGTGATGATGATGATTATGATCATCATCACCATCTCGTGGCTGTGCCGTCTTCATCATTTCTCTCCCGGCGTCCCCGTGCACGCGTTTTCCGTCCTTGGCTGCCCAAATCTGTCCGGAGCTCTTCACCACAGCTCGTCATCCGGTGCGGAGCCACAGTGTCCAGCAGCAGCAAACACACACACATCCACGCATTCGGTCTGAATAGTGAGCGTGATGCCACATGTTCACGTGCATTGCCCCAAGGGATGCGCCTCTTCCCGTGTCTCTTCGAGTTATTCCGAGGGCGGCTCTCTACCCACGCAAACTCCACGAGTTTTTTTCCCATATTAACGATATCTTTAGCGGAGTGACCATAATTTTTCACACGCGTGTCATATACGATTAACGTCACGTGTTGCGTACGTGTAACGAATAGCACCTGTGTATACACTACATTCATGCATTCAACTCACTATCGAATAGTCTAAAGTGTAAATGCAAATCTGGCGGATGCTACGCACTAGCCCCTTCCAGAGTCGACAAACATTGCCATCAATTCGTGGAAAGCCAGAGGACGTCGTGGGAATGTGGAATTTCCACCGTTGGTTGAGGTCCAGCAATGCAAATGAGCCTTGCCTCGCTGCTCGCGTGAGCAGTGAGACACTTGACGTTTGAACTTGACTCTGTCTGCAAGTTGTCTTAGTTATCGAATATTTAATTTATCAACACGTAAGAATCAAATCACATTTAGGCCATCAGCGTTTGTTTCAGCAGACAACCACCCTGCACCGGTGTTGCCTTCTCTGAGTCTCATCAGCAGAGCGTGGACTGTTGGACGTATCTTAATAAGCTGTCCATACATTTGTATATTGGCCAGATCAATCGAGACACGATGGACCACATAGTAAACCGCCGTTGTCTGCGCTCCTTCAACAGAAAATAAATACATTTCGATTTAAAGCTTTCGTGACTGCAGGGATTCATCTTCTTGGTTCTTTCGGTAAAGTCACGTAGAAGGGAAGTAATAAAATAATAAAAATAAAACATAAAAAATAATGTTTTATTTGTATTATTGCAATACTTCCCTTCTACGTGACTTTACCGAAAGAACCAAGAAGAGAAAATAAATAGCAAAACGTCCAGGAACTCTTTCTCCCGAAGCCCCCCTCCTCGCGGCCAAACAGACCTCGCCACTGGCATTTAAGCTCCCGAAGTTATCGCTGCCATCATGCTCAGGAAGAGAAGAGTGCCAACACGCTGGGCCATTGAGAGTACAGAGTAACAGCAACGTGGCACAGGACATGCGTTTGTGCGGTAGATGTGCGCGCTGGCGTCTGGGATTTGCGTAATGCATCTCGCACTAGCCACATGCTCAAGGGATAGCGGGGCCGATATGGGTCGGCGTTCAACGATTCGCAATTGCTCACTCACGATGCAGGGTCACGAATTAATTTCGTAAAATAAAAAAAATCGATTTAAAAAAATGCTGTCATTTGTGTTAATATAGCGGCCTCTATCGGCTGGAGTGAGTCACGCGAACCCACTGCGTACAAAATCGATTCTCACGCACTCTGTCCAATGCACATATCCTGAGCTTAATAATTCGTTATGATTAGATGAATCGATGTTTTGCTCCCCTCTTAGATTCTGGTCATCACACACGCATGCATCACACATTCCTTGCATCACATCCTGCATCATCACACGCTGATGCATCATCACACGCTGATGCATCATCACACACGCGTGGAGCGTACAGCATTGGCCACGGGGTGTCCGTGCAGTCGCATATTTACCCAGGCGATGATCGCGTGGCTCGCAGATCACGACACAGCACTTCATGCGCCCTCTCCCCGTTATGAATTGTTTCGTTCGCCAAACGAGGCTACCCATTCGTGGCTCATAATTCGCACACATTTGCCTTGACGAATGTAACAATTTACGGGCCTCTGGCAATCCGCTAAAACCGGGTGATGGATGGCCTCCTAACGCCGTGGTTGTTTGACCGCATACTTCACCCGGCTGGGCATGGCGGGCTGGCGGTGAAGGGTTGATCGGTTGATATGTAGCGTCTCACTGACCTTAAACCATGGCCGGGAATCAAACCCTGAGGTCGCCGGATCACGGCGCAGTGCGCCTGCCTCCTGCCGCCTTACGACTCGAACTACTTTTTTGGTTTTCTGTTTTACGAAATGACAAGGTCGAAGCGCAGCCCCGCAATTGCTTGCTACACAGCCCTGTTGGTGGAAGGGCCTCCGCACTAGAGCGAACTCGAGCAGGATGGGGGGGGGGGCGTGCTTGGTCTACTTTTCCGCGTTCAACCAGACGTTGTTGGGTGAAGATACGGCGTGCCCACACTTTACAACCATCACCACCACCACGCGACCTGCCACCGATCGACTGCCCAATGTCAACTACTGGTTGGACAGAGGTGCGGGCTTTGAGCAACCTGCTCGTGTCACAACTGCCGCTCCGGGAAATCGAATCGATCCGGCGACTTCTTAATTATCATGGGTTCCTTTTTGTAGGCCAACCGGTTTGCAAGACAACGCCCGTATGTTATCGGAGCAATGTTTTGTTTGCATGTTCACCACACGTACTGTGTGTGGTCAATGCGGACTTGATCCCTTGCAAAATGTCTCTATTTGGTGTCCGGACATCTTAACGTCTGTTTTGTTGGCAGAAAATATAAAAACCTGTTCTGATTTTCCAGACTTCTCAATTGCAAGTCCGGTGTTGCTAACCGTCACAGGGACGGCAACTCCCCGTTTTACAAAAAAAACTCTCTCTGTTTTGTTTAAACAATTGGAAACTTTATAATAATTGGCAGAGCGCCATACAGCAGGGTATGGCGGGCTGAGTTTGAGAGTTTGCTTGTGCTGAATCAATGCTGCCGGAAAAAATGTATCTCACTCCCAGAAGAGGGTCCGTTGGGCCGATTGGGTCGTGGAACAACTACTTAAAACGAGTCTGTGGAGAGACAGATTATGGACATCAACATTGAGCAGACCTTGTCTGCTCATCTTCGACGGGGCGATGGCCGTTAGCTCGGCCCCATATTGCGACGCGCACGGAGGATGGTGTTGATCGGATCTATTCAGTCCCCAGCTTTCTCTGTGACCCAGTGCTGCTGCTGCTGAATATACCGCAGCAGCAGCAGCAGCAGCAGCAGCTCGTGGCATTATTCGGGCCGAGTCTACCTAAAGGGAGACGCGTGCTCGCTTCAGATAGCAGCTACCACGGGTGTCCGTGCCCTGGAATCGAACCAGGATCGTAGGATGAAGGCGGAGGCAGTTTCTTCCACTAGTTTCCACGTTGCATGTTCCGCGGTATATTGATTAGGGGCGTTAAACAATAGCCGCTAGTCCGGTTCGCGTTTTCAAAATCGATTAGCGGTTCAGAAAAGCAGGAACCGGTTTTATACCGGAGTTGGTTTTTGTTATGCCGCTAATGGAGGGGGAATTTCTTTTTTCAATCAGTAGCTCGTAGTGGACCTTTTACACGTACTCACGAAGGCAAATTACTCGGTTCACGAATAATGGGG